TTCCCCCCCTCTTTTTCCCCCTCCCTCTCCCCCACACTTTCTCTCAGTAATAATGAGTGACCAGGGGTCAGCACACGCCGCTGTTCACATTAATTGATACACTTCAGCAATTACAGCTTAGTTATGTCTCTGCCATGCTGCACATTCCAGATGTGGGCATGTGCTTGTGTTGGCATTCAAGGGTAAATCTAATGGCCATCAATGACAATTATCCCACCGCAACGTTCATTACCTTGCCCATTTACACTAATGCCGTAGAATGGTGAACCCTGTGTGCATGTAAGAGCTTGCCTGTGTCTCCCCCACCTCACGCTCTCTCTTCTTCGCCAGTCAGTCATGTTCTTTGCTCTGTGTAATGGGTGAGTAACCAGGTGAACACGAGAGGGAGAGGGGAGACCAGGACACACACCGCCCATTTTTCTCTCTTTCTCGCCCTCACTCTCTTCCCTTCTTTCTCCCCTCTTTCTATGGATCCTCATCTTCATCTTGTTCTTCCTCTCTCCTTTGCATATTGTTTTCAACAGTAAACAGAAGTGCAAAGTTGTCTGGCATTGTAATTACCCTTTTCTTGGAACGCATAACTTTTTTTCTTACACTCACAAATTACACTGTATGTGTTAGTGTGTGTGTGTGTTTGAGAGAGAAAGAGAGTCAGGTCTCCGTCCCCTGGGCCTTTCTGTGTCTCTCATTAAAGACAGACGGTTGACGGAGCGCGAGTGTGTCGCTCGCCTCGCCTGTCGCCCTCGACAACAACACACTACCCCAGCGGTCTGGAGGGAGCGAGCAAGCGGGAGGGAGCTGGTGGGGTGGGGGGGGTTGTTGAAGAAAAGAAAGCTAGATGAGAGGTGGAGAAGGATACAGCCATCCAAATTCATATTTGCCCATCTCTGTATTCAAATCTAAACCGCTCAGATTAAGCCAGAAATGCACTGCGTTCTTTACAGGCTTAAAGATCCGGATTTGAACAAACACTTTCAGCCAAATAGTCACTTTTTATTGTGACAAGAATTTGCACATCATGCAAATTTGTGTAAGAACTTGTTTAGTTTATGCAAGCACAAAAACTAAACATTCCTCACAGCACTGGCTTGAATCCCCCTTTCCTTCTCTCACCCGCTCTCTGTCTCTCTCACTCAGTAGGTGTGTAAGTAGATAAATCCTGTTGCCTGCGGCGACTGCGGCATTTTCAATTTCCCAGTGGGAAGTGGCGGCGGTTGGGAAAGGATGTCGGAACGCTTAAGGAACAGCGTGGCGAAGCCCCGGAGATAATGCTTTAGCCACACAGGGACAAAACAACTGACTGCCTTACTTACTGACTGTTTGACTGACTGAAGAGAGACACATGGAGGGAAACAGGCTGAGAAATCAGGGCGATAAAGCTTTAGTGAAAGACAGAAGAAGAGACCTGAGGAGCCAAACAAATGACACCATGGCCTGCTCTACAGTATTTCTTAAGGCCCTGCCTCTGTCCTTTCTTTGTCAATCAGCATCTCTGTAATATGTGTCTTATTCTGCCCTTAATATCCTATCCTATCTATATCTGTGTGTCTCATAAATATTTGATACAAATACATGCAGTTGGTTTTTATGACATTTTCATTCCCTCCCTTTTTTAAATCGGATTTATTCCTTTTTATGTGCTTCTCAAATGTGCGTATATCAGTCTGTATATTAAAGACCATATTAAGTGTGTTTTTCTTTTCTCTCCTCAGGCTTGTCCAGAGATCTGGAGACAGTATCACATCACAGTGAGTATTTGACCACAAAACCAATGCTGTCAGCAAACTCCACACTGGTGTTTTAAATCTGATCTGATCCCTTCCACATCTCTTTATGTTTTATGAAGCACAATGATAAAACAAAGTGAGGTCATAGTGCTGCTTTTCTTCGCTGTCAGAGAGAACAAGGCAGGTGGACAAAGGGCCTTTTGTAGATGGATCAAGGACCACTGACTAGACACCTGAAGTTGATTGGGAGTTTTTTTTTATACAGGAAGAACATAATAGTACATTCCTGTTGTACTCAAAGGTGTGTATTTAGAACGGCAAAGCGTCTGAAAAGGGAGGTGTTAAAAACTGTCTTGTGTTACACAGTTCCTTCAGCTTTTACCTTAAAGTCCCATAATAGATACATTCAAATGATGCACATGCTTTTTACATTTCATAACATTAACCCTATTACAATGGTAAAGTTAACTCCTTTAGATTGTACCATCAGTTTGCACCCTATCTGTGTCCAATTTTGCTAAATCCCTGTGGAGTTCTGCTCAGAGTCCCAATTAAAAGCAGAGAAATGTAAAAGAACAGGGTGGTGGAGGTGGAGGGGATGACTAAGCCAGCAGCACACCCGCCCTGCCCCTCACAGCCGGGGACACTTCTTGAATCTTTTTCAAGCAGAACCTGCTTCATCAGAATAGAAATATTTTAAATCTTACTGTAGTGATATGCTATAACCAATATTCATTTCTAAACTCTTCAAGGACCACACATTATTCACTCTGTGTTTTATTTTACAGTTTTTGGTCAACTTAAAGGAACCAAATTGAATTAGTGTGGTAGTGCATTAGTAGGTGTAAGCTGCATTTATCAAACAAAGCTCTTATAACACCAGAGTCTCGGGTGATTTCTCTCTCAATGTGCTTTCTTCAGTGTCTTTAAACGTCTACTATTAAAATCCGCCGAACAGTGATAGTGATTTGAGGAATGTGACCAGAACCAGATCATTTTTAATTTAGCATGTGGATGTTCCTAAAAGCCACCAGAAAAAAAGTATTTTCCATGAGCATGAGGGAAAGGTGTCACACGATCACTCAGAATCAATAAGTCAGTTGTCAATGGTATTGAACTCGCCCTGTAGCAGAGGAGTGAACCATGGCGGTAAAAATCTCTGAAGATTAAGGAAGTGCCCTGAGTGATGGGAACCTTTTACTTTATTTAGGTGTGTGTGTGTGTGTGTGTGTGTGTGTGTGTGTGTGTGTGTGTGTGTGTGTGTGTGTGTGTGTGTGTGTGTGTGTGTGGGGTCCGTTTATCTTCTGTGAGTGTATGTGTTGTCTGCCTGCACCTGGCCCTCAACTAACAAACTCCTCCAAACCACACAGTATAGACCACAAAGCCCTGGGGTATTTACTGAGAAAGTAAGATACTGACACACATGGACACACAAATACCCACACACACTTCTACAAATATATATAGAGAAGTAAATGGGGTAAAAAGCTATCCACACAACATTTGCATCTTGTCTGTGTCATATGGTTTTGAAGACATTTTTAAACAGAAGTAATATTTACACAGAACAATTTGCTTGGGGAAACAGGTTACCTTTGACAACTCTTTCTCAGTCTCTCTTTCACTCACCCACACAAATACATGCAGACATCCTGGTTTGACTTCTTTCTTTTGCATACAGCGTTACAGTGAGGGGTCTTTTTCCTCATACCCTATCAGCCTACCGCCTTCTGTCTTTGCCAGTACGATACATGCCAAATATCATTCACCCCAAAAAATGTTCTTTTTGATTATTGAATGCATTCTGCCATTTAATTGTTTATTCGTATGTTTTGTTGCACATATTAACTACCAGCCAGCATCATCGACTGATCTTGTTAGTGCCTTCCATCATTTCCCAGAACCCTCTCCACAAAACAAAAAGAACAGATGTGAACTTGGTATGAAGACGGGCGGGTGCATTGCATCATGCCTCTTCTGCTTTGAATTTTCCACTGGTTGTTGATTGTCAAAATGGAGACTGTAGCGAGAATGACTCTGTTACTCTGAGTGAGTGTTGCCAAGTAGGATATTAATTGTCGGTATTTTGGATAGCTCAAACGGTTTCTGTTCCTATAACAGCATTAGAGCAGCATTGAATATAAGACTGTGATGGCATGTTGACTAAATTCAACCAATCAATAACAGGAATACCAAAAATACTGACAGAGCAAATAAGGCTGGAGCCATCAAATATCTGTCAACAATCTTCTTTTCTTTCAATACATATTTTTGCCTATATGATCGAAATGTTCTAACGTCCAGGATGACATCTCCACATTGGGTGTGTCTAGCAAGCAGGCCAAAGCCAAAAGGTGTTTAGTTTACAACTAAATAAGACTGAGAAAAGCGGCAAATGATGAGGCTGAAACAAGCGAATAATTGGCATTTCTGCTTGACGAAAGGATTTAAAGAATTAATATATTACCGTAATTGTCAGTTCTGTCACATAGTGTATTTGAACTCCACCATAGTGGTTTTGTTTGAGAGATTTCTGACGTAGCATGGAAAGGCAAACAATCTATTTTACAATTACCAGCCCACAACAGAAAGTAGACCAGGAAAGAGTAGGAAAAACAGACATTGAAGTCAGGGAAAGGGAAAGAAAAGAAAAGAAAGGAGGAGTACAATGAAGTGTGAGTGGATGAATGGAAACGGTCAGTAAAGGCAGGAAGGTCAGAGCATGTTGAGCGAGCTGCTGTCCACACTCAGGCTGCCTCATTGCATGTAAAGATTATGCATAAATGTGTGCATTTGATCATACAACAGTTTTCCCTCCAGTTAGTATTTTCAGGACCCTGATGTACCGGTTAAGACAAGAGCGCCACCCTATGGCTGCTGCAGGAAGTGTAGGCTCTCACTTTAAATATCCTTCCTTCTTTTTCTTTTTTTTTAGCTCTGAATGTAGTTAGCAGGTTTAATTATGCCAGCTTTATGTGTAGTACTGGAGCAAAAAGAGACCATGGGGCAATGGATAAACACGATTTACCTACATGGAAGGAAAGTGCTCTGTAAGGAACAGATACAGAGAGGGGGAGACAACTAGAGAGGGGTGTTGTAAGATATTCAGGAGGGTGGGAGTTGAGACAGAGAGAGAAACGAGGAGGGGTGAGTGTATTAAAAAGGGTGAGACAGACGAGAGAGTGAATCTGAGCAGCTGATTGGTACAGGTATATCAGTGTGTGAGCATTGATTGGCCTCTCTTTGGATAGCAGGGGTGACACCTGTACGTGTGTGTGTTTATTGATCGGCACCTCTGCCCGTGGTGTGTGTGTGTGTGTGTGTGTGTGTGTGTGTGTGTGTGTGTGTGTGTGTGTGTGTGTGTGTGTGTGTGTGTGTGTGTGTGTGTGTGTGTGTGTGTGTGTGTGTGTGTGTGTGTGTGTGTGTGTGTGTGTGTGTGTGTGTGTGTGTGTGTGTGTGTATCGAGCGGATTCTCTCCTCACGGTGGTATCAGTGTGTGTATCGATCTTTTCCTCGGGAACAGGTGTGTGTGCGTGTGTCAGTGTCTCTTGGGGTGCCGATGAAAAACAGTGTGTGACCTTTCTGTTCACTATAGAAATTAAGCCGTTTTAACTCCTCTCCTTTTGGTGTCCCTCTATTTCACCTCACTGACCTTTTGTCTCCCTTTTCATTTAGTGTGTTTTATACCTTTTTTGTCTCACCGTCTTTCTCCAGAAGGTCCTTTTCTTTTCATGCTCGATTCACACATGTCTTTGTTGGCCCAAGGTTAGGAGGTTTTGCCCCTTTTCAATCCTAAATTTACATTTTAAAAAATAAATTGAAATGACTTTTTAACCAAGTGGAACGTTTCACTTCATCCATGTCAATTAAAAGCATCATTTGTTTTTAAAATATTTAAGATAACTCAAATGTGGTGAATTATTTTTCTTCAACTAGGATAAACAAGATACAACAAGACATAAATCCGATTTCACACCGTTCACAACTCTTACATACTCATCCCATTTTGTAAGATGTACCTCAGATAACAAAAATATGTTTACAATTTTTTACAAACTAATTTTAATGCCAAATCACACTACCTTTAAAAATGTTTTTATTTATATTCCAAGGGATAGATTTTCACTAAAGCTTGGCTACAGGGAATCAAAAATACCTGAAATACAAACTTGATCTTCAGAATAACATAATTAATATGTATAACTATTTATAGTTTTTGCATGTTTATATGTATTTATTGTAAACAGCACGTATTTGGCACAATAGTGTTTATACTAGAACACAAAACAACCTTGAATCACAGCACAATGTCCGAACAGCTCTGTTTTTTATATGGGGAAATTATATATCGTTTTAATGTTATTTGTTGAGTTAATAAGTAAGTCAGAGTGCATCTTTTCGAACCTTAAACCAGTCTCAGTATAGCAGTTGTAATTGACCACAGGTGAAGTTGCTGTAGGACGTTTTCAGCGTTCTGTGTTAGAGTGCCCTGCAGTGGTTAAACAGAGAACTGCAAAATGTCAGTTTCTCTTTCAATTTCATCCATTGGGGAGTTTTTATGCAGATACATGGCAACTGTGCATCTTTAGCGAGCTTGTATTTTGCTTTTAGCTGAGGGTCTTTTTTTTGTGGATTTAATCAAATGTATTTTGTTGTCCCTCTTCAACCAAAATAAATCACATACAGTAATGTATAAACATAATAAGTGAATTAAAAAATAACGCAACTCATTCATGGTGATTAAGAATGTGAGGTGTAAAAGAAAAGGTGTGGTTAAATTGTATTTTCCACACTGGTGAAGGGTAATCTTTGCAACACTAACCCGCCTCTCAAGGTTTTTCCTTAAGGCACTGCGTGTTGAATCCGTATCTAATGCATATTGCTTGAGCCTCACAAATTACCCATAATTCTAATAGTAAGGATAATACCGGTCTTAACTCTTCAGTTCTTTCTGCTGAACTTCAAATCCCAGGTTTAAGGTTCAACCTCTATTCCACTTCTCGTTCTGTCCTTCATTCTGTCTGGCTGACCTCTTTTCTTATTTCTCGTACAAGAAAGGGCTCAATTCAAACAGTGCTTTGTGAAAATCCTTTAAATCCACATCCATTCAGTGAGCTGTTTTTGCTGCCTCATCATTGTACAGTACAGACCTTTCACCCCCGCCATGCCAAAGACTCTGTCCTTTATTCTCCACAGACTGAGACTCTGAAGGCGCAGGAGGCAGGGGAGGGTACATTTGTAAAAGGAAATGTCTTTTGTACGTTTTAAATCTAATTCCATTAACATCGAGCAGCCATAAGGTCAAAGAAAGTTTTGCAGGGTTAAAGTCATTTGGGTGGTGCAGTTCATTAAGGAGAGGTGTAGAAAGACCATGGTACCTTATAGCAGTTATAGCTAATTGGTATGTAGCCTTTTTCTCTGACAGCCTTACTGCAACTCAAAATTAAAATCAGTACAGTTCATTCTTTAATGTCTCGAATGGAAAAGTTGGCTTGCTTCATTACATGAAAACGAACTCTTACTTATATATAATATTTAGATTTAATCGGTTTAAGCTTTACAACATCAGGTTATTCCCATGACAAATTAATGAATTGCTGATAAAAGTAATCATTACTTTTAGGTATCAGATAGTATTTTTAAAATGTTGGTTCAGGTGTCTTAAAAAACACTGCTATATGTACATATGTACAAAACCGCAGGAATGTACCCACAAATGCACACACACACACACACACACACACACACACACACACACACACACACACACACACAGGTGCAGCGTTATCAGAGGTCTTGCAGGCTTTGCAGGTCTTTGTGCCTTTCCGCTTAGCTGGATGGTGTCGATTTTGTGGAGTATGTGTGTGCCTGGAAGTGTGTTTTTGTGTGTGATTTGTTGGCTTAGATGTAAAATCAGGATTTAACATCCTGACCAGGGCACAGAAGTCCATCTGTATATAGTACATCCAAATCCCTGTCTCTCATGTACATTGGTGTTGTCTCTTTCTAATTGCTGGGGGAAAAAACTGAATAGCATGTTTCCATAAACACTGGCAACAATAGAAAAAAAGCCATTGAGCAGTGAGTCCTAAGCAAAGAAATCAAATAACTTAGACTGAGATTTGAATAGATTAGCTTGTATCCTCTGTTCCGCCTTCCACGGTGGGACCAGATTACCTCCAGTTGTTGCCCTAAAAGGGGGGTCTTCCTCAAGAGGTGGCAACCCAACTGCTGTTCCCTGCATCATATTATCATTACATTCCAGGAGCATTTCCCTCCTCTAAAGAGAAAATCAGGACTCCTCCTGATTGTCTTCAGACTGATTGACTGACTGACGGGAGGAGATAGGAAGAGCCTCTGGGAATTTGTGTATGTGTGTGTGTGTCCTCGCAGGGCGCGGGGTTAGGGCTTCGGTCTGAGTCTTTGTGAACTGGCAGACACAAAGGGGGTAGGAATCACATCTGGTTACTTGGAGGACCCCCCCCCTCTCTCTCTCTCTTCCTTTACCGTCTCCATAGCCTCCCTAACTGCACACCTCCACCTTAAAGTCTCTCCTGAGAATGACTGATTTCCTCTTCATGAGTGAGAGCAAACAATGTGAATAACTTCTTTATAATTTTGAACTGTTCAAATTCCCAAATGGACACGTGGATTAGAGGTTCTGTAATTGCTTCTTGTATATTCTCCTTGAGAAAATGTTCACCTTATAGCCGTTTCACAATTGTCTAATTAACCCTCCCTGTTAGCCTAATATGTACATACCGGCATGTTGCACACACAGGCACCACAAGGGTCTGTTTGTTTGTGTTGGTATGAGCCCAGTAGTCTGGTGTTGTGCTGTGAGGCTGTTTTCTATGATAAAGCATGCAGAGTTGGTCCCTTGTGGGTCCAGTAACATATGCAAACCTTTCTCCATTGCTGCAATAACATATGCAAAACAGCGCCGCTGGCCCCAGCCTCCACGCACCCACCACCCGTTACCGTTCGGATCCCACCCCCTCTCCTCTTACACACACACACACACACACACACACACACACACACACACACACACACACACACACACACACACACACACACACACATACAGACAGACACGCACACAAGCCTGTTTGCTTCTCGGATTGTATTTGATGACTGTGTGTGTGTGTTCCTTCAGATTGTAGTCTGTAACAGTCTGAGCTTTGTGTTGGCCAAAGGATTATCACAGCTTTGCCACCAGCAGCTAAGGCAAGGAGCAGAGGAGAGCAAGGCTTAGAGAGACACAGTGCATGTGTCGGGACAACTGTGGGAAATAAGGGTGTGTGGGTGTTTGACAGAGAGAGAGAGAGTGCGCTCATGTGTCAGTGTGTGCCTGCATGAGAGGCCACGGATGGCTGGTTGTGTGCGTCCACCTAGGGAAGCCCTTAGGACCTTCTCAAACACTCTTCTCAAACACTCTTCTATACACACACCCGCACACACACTAAATCGTTAGTCCTCATCCAACTTCAGTCTTCTTTTTTTCGGACTGGCAAAGTGTCTCTGAACAGCAGAAGAAGCAGAAGCTCTTCACGTGGTATCAGCAGGAAGTGGATCAGACTTGGATCTCTCCTGCTGTCTCGTCATCCACAGGACCGTTAATTAAACACACACCAGCGTTTTTAATGCTGCCTCAGATGCTGGGAATTGTATGTCTAGCAAGTTTATGAATGGAGAGATTAATGCCTTCTGGGAAAGTAAGCGACGTGGATATAAGTGAGGATTTGTATTGGATTGATTCTGGTTATATACAACATTATTTCTTTTCAAATTTAACTCATGATTTATTATCCAAACAAATCCTTATCGTGCACTACTATCATAATTCTGAGTGGACCACAATAAATGGATTGGATTTGTCAGGCTACATATTTTCATCGTGATCACAAAATATCCCCTCTAGGTTTTACTGAGAAAGACAAGCGAGTCAAAGCTAAACCTCAATGTACCATACTGACTTCCCTGCACAGCCAGACTCTCCTCTTCATTCCCATGAGAAAAAGAAAGACACCAAACTGATCTGATCCCACAGGCCCTGGCCCTGTTAGCAATTTAGATGCCCCCGATAGGAAGCGGCGGATGAAAACAGAGTGGGATGAAGGTTCATTCAGTTAATTAATATTGGATGAGGCAGACAACTCCTCACACGCATACAGACACACATTCGCGCCAGGTTTTCAGACCACTATCACAGGTTGATGGGAGAATAGGAGGCGATTTCATTTCTTCCTCTTCTTTTTTCCTCCCCTCTCTCTTGCTTTCATTCATTCTGCTGATGTGCTGGATCAGAGTATGTGGAGATAACGCAAGCCCAAGGTCAGTAAGGGAGAGAGAGAGGTAGACCTACAGCCAATTTACATGAAGGATGAATGGGAAGAGGGGTAGAAAAGGGTGAAGGGGGCTTGAGCCGGGTACTGTGATCTCCTTAGGGTGCACATGTGTGTTTGTTTGTGTGTGTGTGTGTGTGTGTGTGTGCGCGCGCGCGCGCTCGCAAGAGGTCTGTGATCTCCCGGCCTTTGTGATGGAGATGGGCCCGGCCGGCCTGACCCGATAATGACGCGACGCTCTAATAGCATTCATCCTTTCTGCCGCAAAACTACTCAAGCGGAAAAGAGAGAGAGACAGAAGGAGAGGAGGGGAACAAGGGAGAGAGGGAAGCAGGGAGGGAGGGGAGGTTGCTAAGCTATGTTTAAGAAATGACGTGGGGCACAAATAATTTGTAATCTTGGAATCAGGGGGAGAGAGGAAGGAGGGGGCACCTTAGTTAGGTGTGTGTGTGTGTGTGTGTGTGTGTGTGTGTGTGTGTGTGTGTGTGTGTGTGTGTGTGTGTGTGTGTGTGTGTGTGTGTGTGTGTGTGTGTGTGTGTGTGTGTGTGTGTGTGTGTGTGTGTGTCATTAGCAGTAAATACACTGTGCCTGTGTGTCTCCTCTCTCTCTCTTTATCAGTGTATATTTGCTGTGTGCGCTGGAGCATGGAAGGCTTTCAGAACACCGGCCCATAGGGGACGGGACCCTGTGTCCAACACACACAGATGGTTACTTATCATATAGGGTCATTACAGGCCTCTAACTATAGCCTAGTAATCACTGGTTTGTATCAGAACCCATATTCGCCGTACAATACACAGCAGCCTGTATCTGTAGAGAGCATGGGAATGAGAAGAGGGAGGTTAACCACCCCCTTATAAAATTATTTAATTTAATTTTAACAAACTCCTTTGATTTTCTCTGTGTAGACTGAGACACGCACTCCTTTGAAGCCGAAGGGAAAAGACCGGGGTCGGACTCCCGCCTACTGCTACAACTGCTCCAGGAGAGGGCACTTTGGACATGTGAGTATCTCGCTCTGTCTTGTTTGAACTGCCTTTCATTTAGTTTGTAGGCATGTTTTAGTTTGTATCATGGACAAGTTAAAGGCACATCATTTGGTTTAATTGCTTTACAAAACTTGTTTGATTCGTACTATACACCAGATTTTGAATTTCCTTATTTTAGTAGACCTTTTTTCCCCCCCTTCCTTTTTTACGGTGTGCATATCGGGCTCAATTTCTAGAGATTTGTCATACAGTAGGATTTTATCTTCTAGATTGTGAAAGAAAATGGTAAAATCTTTGTCACTGTCAGCACCGATTTTACTAGGTGTTTTGGTTATTTTGTCAGGCTTCATCTCTCGTATTACATGATTTATTTTTTCAACACAAATGTCCACCGAGTTTGCATTTCTTTAAATCTTTAACTCCTACAATTATGTTATTGTCAAATTGTTTTCAAAAATTGGCATCCTGGAAATGCTGAGGAATCAAATCGCCACCATTAAAGGTGATAGATAAAGCTAGCTCCATTGGTTTTGTTTGAATTCCATTACACACTCTACAGAATAACCGTAGTGTTACCATAGGGATAATCTAATTTTGGCCTAAAATCCATATCATCTTTGTAGTTTCAATTTCCATTTGAATATGATGCCACAAATATATTTTACGTATTTGAATGAGATATTTGTGTTTGTACATTCGGTCATGTGTGGTTTCCTCAGGTGTGTACACGAAAAAGGATGTTCAACGGAACGTATCCCAGCACACCGTTTATCAACTACTACGACACTAAGAAGGAGATCAAAAGTAGAGGAAAGTGGATATTATCGAAGGTTGAAGGTAATTCACACACAGAAACACAAAGACACCTTTTCACTTAAATTAAGTCATCATTTTTCTCTTTCCTGTGGTCTTGAGTTGTATTTAGATACATAATAAATTCATGCTTTTTTCTTTTTGTTCTTTTGGCAGAGCTGGAAAAAAATGGCCTTTTAACTAACAGTTCTCAGACCCCTTTCACTCCAGGACCGCCAAACAAGAGACAGAAGTTCAGCCATCACGAAAGCAACAAACAGACCCACCATACACCTCGCCAAAGCCCGAGCAACCACAAACCAGGCCATATCTTTTTCAATGACGATGACTTTCAGGCTCCAGCACCCAAAGCAAGAAGGAACAATAGGCCCAAACAACAGGAAGGCACTGAGAAACCATGGAAACCCAAGAGACCGGTCCCCACTTCGATAAAACCTCGTCCACCCAAAAAAATAATTTTGAATGAAACGGATGACTTTCCCAGAGGAGGAGGCAAAAGAGGAGATACAGAGAAGAAGGGGAAGAAGGGGAAGAAGTTGGGGAAAAAGAATAATGTTCCTGAAAAGCTACCAAAATTCCGCCCTCATTGGCTTGAAACTGAAGAGATGCAGGGGTCAGCGTCAAAGCAAGAGAAAGGAAAGAGGAACAAGAGGAACCGATACCGGAAGAACTCTGATGCTTCACAGTACCCAACGGATGAGAACCTGTTTACCATCAAACAGAGGAAACGCCATAGATAGCACCAGTGTGTGTGACGGCAGTGATCTTCATGACCAGTTCATCGTGTGTGGTCAGGACATTTCAGGAGTCTCAGGCATTTTGTTAGACTGCCAGTGCTGCTCTTGAGGGTTCATAGGCCTGTTTAATGGAAGACCTTTTCAAATGTCACAGTAAGAAGAGCAGAGTTGTAATTAATAAAATGAGTAATGAATATTTTGATCTGCTTTAGTTTTCATGTCCTGGTACTGTGCATGTTGACTCACTTTCACACTAATGAGCACACTTGAGCAGAACAGAGCCATTGTTGTTGTGATAGTCAGGTTTCTATTTGAACATTTAAACAGTTTTTTCTTTCTTGAATCTTTCCTCATACTGAGAAACAGTCCTAATACATCATTATAGTGTCATCATAATACAATATTGATTAATTGAACAACAACATTGGCTGAAAACATAAAATCTTAAAGATGTTTTTGATTCATTTCAATTAAATTCAGGGGCCTGTGAAGCGTACATACGCATTTATATCAACTTTTGAAAAACAACAAAAATGTGGTTTGACATTTTCTTTTTAAATGGGATTGGTTGATGTTTTTATTTTTGCATTGATGATATTTGATCCTTGACCATTGAATTGATACATTGAATAGTCTAGAAAGATATATGCAGTATAACCAGAAGGGATGATCATGACAAGCAAAGCTTTCCTTAAAAGTTGGAGCTGTATTTTTATAAAAAAAGGTATTTTCTGTTTGATTCTGGAGTTGCTTTTTCACAGTTTCTCCTTGTGGTTAGTGTGAATAACAACCTTTATCAAACAGTGGCCTCATTTTAACAACTAATTCATTGTTTTAATGTATCTGGAGACCGACAAGTAAGAAACCAGGTAGGAGTTCATAAGATCAGTTTTTTTTAAAGGGAAAGTTCATTATTTTCCTGCTATGTTTCAATCAGCTCATTGCAGCTCAGCCGTGGAGGACACCCTCAATGTTTAAATCTCACCCCGTTGAAAGCACAAGCCTATGACCAGATGCAGTCCTTTTTATATGCGACGAAGCGGTTGGCATGTGTACAGTAGACCGTTAGAAAGATAATAATCCTCCCAACAACAAGTTATTTTGATTATCTTGGCTAACTGGGTCATGATTTCTGAAACAGAAATTGCTGTTAGTTATTTAAAAAAACAAAAAACTGTTGCTGTTAAGAGCACCACAAACCAGATGCCATCTAGTACCAATATATTTTAGAAAAAGGCAGACATTTAAATCTCCAACACTGTACAACTAACCCCAAAACAATCTAGAGTGATTCATAGCACTACACTTTTTATTGTAGGTGAATTGTCCATTTTGGGCAATTACTGTCTTCAAAACAAACCAAACATTCAGTTGCATCAACGTATCAATTATCATTAGATTGCTTAATAAGTAATGGTTGAAATTGATCTATGGATGTCATACTTATCATGTTCTCCAATTTCTTTGTTCACATTAATTTCTGCTTATTACATATTGAATGAATAACAGACTCTGCTCTTTGAAGGAAAGAAGGATCATCTCATAGTGCCTCAGCTCTGAACACTTGAAGTTGTGTGCATTTTGAACCAAAGAATGGGAAGGTTTGTTTTAAATAGTCTTTGAAATGTTCTTTTTTTTTACTCAATGACTGAGATGCCTTGTTCTAGTAAGTGAGATTTAAAATATGTGGACATACTGTAAATACCTAAATAACACTTGTTTAATGCCGATCTGCAGAAAGTTGTCTCATCAGTTATTTTGTGAAACAAGGCTACCTGAAGTTTTGTGTATTGATACAACTTGAATCAGCTCTGGCATATGAGTTCTGTGATTCAGAAGATAAATCATGTAAGGCTTTATCTAAGAACTGTTCACATGGTTTATTCAGTAACTGTATAATAATTGCTCACAATTCTTTTGTTATGTAATTTGTGGTGATGACATAAAAAATGGCTCCAATCCCTAAATGTCTCTTTTTTTTTCTCCACCAGATGTGCAACGTATTGCAATATCAGGTATTTTTCTTATGTATATTAGTAGATCCCACATTTGTTTGTTTGTTTTTAGCCTTTATTTAACCAGGTGAAAGCCCCTTGAGATCAAAAGATGTCTTTTTCAAGGGTGACCTACAATTTTAAAAGATGGTCAAAAAAGATGAAGAGAGACACACATTATCTCAATTCTTTTTAAACTGTATAGAGAAGATGATAATACATGTTTTCATTCAGAGGCTTGAAATTGTAAAAACAAAAATACTGCCTTGGAGGACCGAGATTATGACCATTTAAAATATGGATATTTTTTTTATTTTACAGTTTTGGATAAAAGTAGAGGAAGATGAGCTCACATGTATAATTCCTTCATATTTTAACTGTCATTTTTTTTTTTTTAAACGTGGAGACAGTGGACAATATTCAAAGGTAATTGAGATTTCTAAATTCAAATCCGGATTTTTCATTTATGCAATAGAAAAAGTAAAACTCATGTATTTTTCTAACATTTGAAAAAGAACTCTCGCAGTGAGAGCCGCTTTACAATACAACTTTTGTGTACTATTTTAAATACTACTTTGCTACTAAAACTACAGTTCAAACAATGGGAAATAACTAAATGATAGTAACATGAATATTCACATCCCACCATTGCAAGATTTGGTTTGACTTATCTCGGTTTAGTTTCTTACTAGTTGAAACCATAGACCAGGGGTGTCAAACTCAAGGCCCGGGGGGCAAAGAATATAATAAACAATACTGTACTACAATACTGGCTTTTAATGTGTGATTGTTTTTGTATTATTTGACTTTAACTTTAACTATATATTTATTTGTTGTTCCTTTCTTTTCTTCTCTTTTCACTATATCTGTAACGCGTCTTTGAGCACATGTAAAAGCGCTAACAAAATAAATCTATTATTAACACCACAATAGAAGATGTATATGATTGCCTGTTCATCTTACTTCACATCCGATACAAATTTACAAGCCTAAACTGGCACTACTACAGGAGAACTCAACGGCATGTCGGTTACCGCATGTCGGTGAACGAGGTAAAAGTACAAAAAAAATTGTCAAAAAGTGTTGGTAAAAGTGTGCGATCCCGTATCCTATTAAGTTAAGCCAAGCAGTAACTAGACATCTACACTAAACGCGGGGCCGGTGGGAAACCCATTTAATGCATGTCGGTTAGTGTTACGCATGTACGTACGCAAAACCCATTCTCGCAGGGGGCTTGTGTATACCCATGGGGCTTGTGAGACCATGGCGTGGCCAACATTTGAATTCTGATAATTTATATATCTATTTAATATATTATATATAAATTTATTACATAATAAATAAATAACGAACGTAACCTAATAAATAGCCTATCCTAGTATGAACATTAATGATCAGAAAAACCTTTCGTCTCCTGGGTCCCGCGTTTATTAACGTTCAGAGAAGTCACGCATGACAGTGTTTGTACTACGTAACACCGACAACAAATACCCGTTGGACGAAGACATTTCACCGTACGTGGCATAATTATGTGAATAATATAGAAACGTTCGAACGCCCCGGGGATTTTACTTCAACGCCCGGCCTAACCGGGGCCCGAACTCAAACCTGTGGACAAATCGGCTATTTCCTGCCTTCCCTGGACTTCGATGTCCAATTGTAAATCAACGGGTAGCAGATACCGTCCCCACAGTTTGCGGAACTTTGAACTAGAACT